TTGGCGGATCACTGATCGACTGTGTAAATTGCTCAACTTTCTAAATTAATTGGAGAAACATGAACTGTCAGATCCGATCGGTTTTGAATCCTTGTGAAAGCACTTGAAATTGGCTATCAGAATGTGTGTCCATCTTTGTTCTAGCACAAATAGCCGCTGAGTAATTCAAGAAGGAAAAAATCCAAATTTTGGCGGATCACTGATCGGTCACGTTAACGTTAACATGCAAATTCGCTCCCTGGATCCCTACTGATTGTCCTAGCAAAATCAATTACAGTAGCTCAATATGGGATTGTAAGATGATATTATTCTAAGTAGCTTTAGCTGGAGAAATTAATCAAGGACGGAGAATTGAGACATTTGACAGTGAAGTCCAGGAATGTTGAAACTCGACACGAGTTTCCCTGTCGAGAGTCGTAGCGAAGACACCAATTGCACGAATTTGCGAGACTCTTGAAGTAACAAAGTGGAGATTTACAGTGAAATGTGAATTGAATTTTTACAAATGTAAGATTACCATACTTATATTTCTACTAAGGTTAACGTTACTCTACAGTACCCTTCACCGTTTACCGTATGGTTGGAGTCACATCAATCGACAGGCACAGCCTGCTTCAGGAAGTTCTTCGTCCGAGAGGATCGCATTCTACACGAAAAAGACATTCACACACATTTCGTTTACTAGTTAGTATGTTCCAATGAAGTTAGTAGTTACCTCGTCGTTTCGACCACGAACAGATGATGCCGATGATGCCTCCTCGACGTCTCCCGTGGTTTCATTTTTCAACATGGCCAAGTAAATGTCTTGGGCCGTCAATCCCCCTTGTCGCTTCAACGGCGCGGTACTTTCCTGCGTTTTTGGAGCGACGTTTTCACGTCGATTCAGCTCAATCTTTGCAATCGTGTCCTTGGTCGTCCACAGCACTTGGCCATTCGATGCGTACGTCCGTTCGAGTCCGGCGTAGTCGCCCGTCGCATCAAACGTCTGGAAGAATCGTTCGAGTTGGCGAAGTGCGGCGCCCCGGATCTGCTCGACTGGTGCCCCTGCGTCTTGGGCCTCCACGGCCGCCTGGAGCACGTCAAAATCAAACACGGACGACGATTTCGTGGCCGATTCAATAGAAGTGGCCACCCTCGTCATCACGTCAGAGTCTAAACTCGGCACCCCGAGCACCTTGAGCCACCCCACGGCCGTGTTGGCCCAGTTCAAGCACTTGAACCCTGTTTGAATGTATGGCATGGCTACCGTCATGAAGCGCACGTACTCGTCCGACTTGGTGTCGATTCGAATGGGGTACACGCCAGCCGACACGGGGGTGCCCATCACTTCATCAATCAGATACAAGTACAAAGGGTCCCCTGGCGCGACCAGACGTACGGTCGCCCCGATCGCTTTGTTGGCTTTAGCCGCTTGCATAAACTTGTCGCCCATGTCCACGACCCTTTGCAGGAACGACGCCGTCTTGACCATCACGTCCTCGGCCGTCTCGTCGTGTGGGTCGTGGACTACGAGGTTGAACGGAAGGAGCACGAACGACGTGGGCACGGTCACTTCGGTAGCCTGGAAGATGCCGCGCATGAGATCTCGCTTGGCGGTGGCTAGTTGGTTCACATTTTCCTTGGTCAGGTCCACGACAGTGTCCAGTTTAGTGCCTATCGCGTTGAACCCCCGCGCTACTTGGACTTGGAGCTGGTCCAGTTTAATGCCCAGCACTGACGCGTCGTCCGTCCCGTGAAAGTACGCGTGGTCGAGCACCTGTCGGACGCCCATGCGGTTCTCCGGCTCCACCACGAGCAGCCGCTGGATTAAGTCCGCCGCCAGCCCATTCGACACTTTGCTGCGAATACGACGCCCCAGCGCGTCCGCCGTCCACGTGGCCGCCCGGTCCATCGCGTCGTCGTCCGCGTCTTGGTTTCGATCTGTGGGCACGAGCTCGGCTTCGCTGTACAGTTGAAACAACATGCACCCGAACGCCCACATGTCGATGGCCGGCGACGCTTTGACGAGTTGGTACGGAACGTTCTTGGCACGTCCCCGGAACGAACGGACGACCCACCCGCCGTGCCCGCGAGGCTGCACCTTGGGCCACCACTCAACTCGGTCGGCGTGTTTCCAATACGTTTCGTACGTGTCCACTTCCGTTGGCGACGTCACCTGTACAAACATTTCTACATGGTCCAAATAGAAGCGGTAGGAAAACGCCAAGCTTAGTATTCTTGTGCGAGTATTTGTGATAATATTGTTACCGGGGGGTAAAATGCCCGAGCTAAACTTGGACCCAATGTCGTCGCCGACCCGAGTGGCAGCGTCCAAGTCGATCAGTTGCAGCGTCTGGTGAACCCTCAAAATGTTGAGTTTCTTCAAGTCCCCGTGGATCATGCCGTGACCGTGTAAATGTGCCAGCGCCAGCGCCACGTCACGCATCATGGGGCGAATCTTCGTGTCGTCTGGGCGCTCCTTGAGGAAAATGTCCTCCAAACTGCGATCGGCCGCCGGCATGACGAGCACGTTCGGGAACTCGCACATGTTCAAGTTCCCGTGAAGCACCAACGACCGCACGTGGTCGGCGAAGGTAGAAGTATCCGCCATGGGCAGGATCCCCACGACAAACTCGGCGTCCAAATGCGTGCGCGCGTCGAGTTCGCGTGCGTGGTCGGCACCGTGGCGCATGAACTTGATCGCCACGCGCATCGAGCCGCCGTACGCGTGGCTGCAGTGCCGCAAGTACTCGTGCTCGGTCAAGTTCGGCCCGTCTTTGGAAGCACCATCGAACGCTGCTTCGTGGTTCTACCGATACATTTCACAAGTGGTGATGATTTACTATTGTTCAGGTGGTGAGTCGACTCAATTGGGAGGGGAAGGCTCTTACTAGTATGCATCTTTCAGAGCTAAAACACATAGTACGATGTCGTCGAACACAGGAAATACTTGAATGTGATCCAATAACTGTCTGTTAAAATGAAACACAAGTTGGAATGAGCCAAGGCCAGAGTAGTCAACTAAGCGGATACAAGTCATGAATATTGCTTTTTGATAGTATCGCTGCGTTTCATCTACTGTACCATTGTGACAATTATCTTCGTAAGTTATTGTTGGAAAGAATCACTTGGGTCATGCATTCCACGACTAAACCACACACTACATACACGAGTGTTCCAAATGTAAATCAAAGCATCATGAACGTCCATATACAAAGGTCGAAGCCAAGAATCGACTGAATGATCATCCAAGCAATGCAGAAGCTACAAGTCGTATTTAATCGGTTGTATACACTCAATTTGTATGATCATTCATCCTTGGACTAGTTCGTCCACGATATATTGTCCCCTTGTTGGAGTTCCAAGTAATGTACCTTGTTGGGACTCAACACACGGCTACACGCGACGAACGCTTGTCTGTCCAGGCCGCGACCTCCGGTCGCATGCAAGTCGAACAGTTGCTTAAACAGGCCGTGGTCGAACGCGTGCACGACGACGGCGGTGGCGCTGATGTGGATGGGCGGGCCGTCCACGATTTCGTACCGGCCGCAGAAGAACAGGTACCCGTTCAGGAGGTCCCGCGTGGCGGCGTCGGTGGTCTGCAGCACCGTGCGGCCTTCTCGGTCGGTGGTCATGGCGAGCTCTCGCGCCACGGACGGATGGTGGCGGAGGTCCGGATGCCGGATCAGGCGCTGAACAGCTTCGAGGCGCACGCCTTTGTCCACGGGGGTACCGATGTCCAGGTACTGGCTCCACGTGTGGAGGTGGTCGTGGCGGCGCACGACAGAGCCCCCTTCCACTCGCAGCGGCAGATCTCCCAGCAACAGCGTCACGCTTGACTCGACAGTCAATTCCGGCGCAATCGTGTTCAATGAAAAGTACGGCTATTTAGGAACCAACTATAAACGACAGATGCCCAGTGACAAGACGAGAGTCGTACGAGGCTATAGATGTGCGAAGCGACGCCGTGCTCGATAAACGCATGCACGCAGCGTGTGGCGGTAACAGTCACCGCTGCTTCGAGTGCGGTCATACCGTTCTGGTGGTTTCAATGCAGAGTACGTTAGTTTTAACAGAGACAAAACGATCGATTTGTAGTATAATTACGTTGTCTGGCAGGTCAGGTTGAATGTGCGGGTGCTGCAGCAATAGCCGGACGTTTGGGGACATATCGTACCCACACGTCGTGGCCAAGTGAAGCGCAGTTTTTCCAGTCTACAAGAGGAGCACGAATCGTATAAATAGAGTACGAAGGGTGGACTTTGGCTACTACGGTGGTTTGCTGGTTGAGTTGAATCTCCGGTCGCGCCAACAGCATTTCAAGGGCGTCCGAACCTTGTACTGTCGCGGCCGCCATCAGCGCCGTGTGGCCACTCTACACCAACCATTATCAATCAAATGTCTTATCAATCAAATGTCTTTAGTACAACGTTGTGACAAGGACATCTCATTGACATAGCGTCGAGATTGCATCCACTACATACCTCGTTTTGAACGTTGATATCAATATCTGGTCGAGCCAAGAGGAGTTTAGCCACGTCAGGATGATTCATGCAATGCATCAGCGCCGTGTCTCCCTCCTACATGACCATAAGATATATATACAATTCATTTAAATTGCCAACATAATGCGTTTTTGTTAAAGTATAGGCTCACCCCGCCGCGTGCATTCACTTGCAGGGTGGGGCGCTGGCATAGTTGATGTACGACACTTTTGAGGCCGGATTTGCACGCCAGGATCAGCGGAGTGTGGCCGTCGCAGTTGTTGGAATCGTGAGCTGGGACGCTCGTGTCGCTGACTGGCGGAGTGTAATTCACATCCAAGTCGGACCGAGCTAACAACGCCAGGACAATCAAAACCGACTCGATCGTTGGCTCGTCGTTCTCGTGGGTGGCAGTGTCGTCGTCGGAACCACTGCTGTCGGAACTAGTATTGTTCTACATGTACATAAACACAATTAAGAATGGTTCGAGTAATGTTAACAGTTCTATTGTCGAGTTTGGATTTGCAAGTTAGAAATCGAACGCTCATGGCAAGTGTATTTAGAATAGCCTAGCATATCAAATTGCATTAAAATCCAATAGTCGATCTATAGCTAGATTGGCCCTAGAATACAATATTTGTATAGTACTATACATTTGATCATATTAAAACCTGCCTCAAATCCATTGAAGCGAAGTGGACATATAACGTTAGACTACTTGTGAATGGGAGGGCTGTAGGTGGGACATCTAGAAATCAATAGCAAACCTCGTCGTCCTTGGCTTGTTTCTTGGTTTGTGCATGTTGGATGAACTTATAGTCGTTGACATGACGACACGCTCGTGTCAACGCCGCGTACAAGGCTGATTCTCCATGCTAATGATCGCATATATTCAAAATTGGAAAAATACTTGAGGACACTTACAGCGTACGTGCGATTTAGTTGCAGGTCAGGGCGTTGGCACAGCCATTTCACGGTCTCTTCCGATCCATACTTGCAAGCTGTGAGCAACACAGAAGTGTCGCTCTAGACACGGATTAGTGTTACATAGTCCGAAAATTCATCTATAGGTAGTATATGTATTTATTTCCATATGTATTACGTCAGGTTTTGAATTCACGTTGACGGTGTCCAAAGCAATGAGTTTGCCAGCCACACCGCGGAGATCATGGTACAGTGCAAATTCCAGCGGGGTGTAATCGTCAAGCTACGATAGGTGACGTTACCAAGCGAAGGTATCAATGAATTACCCCAATTTCAACGTTCAAATCCAGGTCACGCCGCGCAAGCAACAGGTCGAGCATCGCCCAAGCTGCTTTTGCAGTGGCATTCCGAATCGTTTGAAGGTCGGCGTCGTCCTATCAATATGATTACTTTCGATAGTTCGAATAATTTAATAGGACCGTTTTGACGTCCGCTGCCTGGAGCTTTTTAAGGACAATCCATAGTGCTGGCGGTGATGAACCCTAAGATGTCAAGTGTAAAGTCACTCAAAAATAGACCGTGCAGTCGTAGAGAAGACTTCAATGACTTCACCACGTATATATATATTTCCAGATATATAATCACGGACCGGTTGGACGTTCACATCCAAGGTCTTATTCTCGAGCAGTTTCACTACAACTTCATCGACGACATCACCCTGGCAAACAAAGCCAAGGGGCGTGTCTTTGCCCTACAAAAAAAGTTGTCCGTGCTGAGCTAATCTACCTAGGACGATAGCAGGTCCAACCTTGGGGGCCAGGTTCACATCAATGTCTTTGTGCGACAGTAAGACGAGGGCGATTTGTCGCTTGTTTGCGATCAGAGTTTGGGCGGCTTTCTCGTGGGTTTCACGTGTCGTGTCGGGATCTGGGTCGTCTGGATCGACGACACAATAGCGTTCTCGACGGGAGCGCGGTTTCAGCGCTAGGTACAAAGCAGTCTCCCCCTAATAGCACATTCAAACCGTCCTTGTGATATTTTAGACAAGCAGCGTATGGTTAGTACCCCCTCGGACAAAGCGTTCACTTGCGTGTGTGGAAATGCACACAGCGCTCGCACGACGTTCATGTGGCCGTTCCTTGTCGCCTCATGCAGGGGCGTATCGAGTACTTCGTTATGCCCTCCCTAATTCACAATTGAGCCTGCCATGACGACGACGTCAGCATCATGTCGAAGTACTTCGAATTTGCAGTTCACGTCAATCTTTGGGTGGGCTAGGAGCCGCTCCACTGCGGCGACGTTGCCTTGGCTAGCGGCAGTGTAGAGCGCGGACCTGCCCATTTCGTCGGGCAGATTCACGTCCACGTCGCTTCGTTGCATCAAGTACGCTTGGATGCCAACGTGGTTCCGCGCAAATGCCACGTGCAAAGCTGAGCCCACTGTCGGACTATTGCCGCACCTCGAACGACGGGGTTCGCTGTGTAGCGCATTCACTTGAATGCCTGGACTTTCGCAGAGGAGACGGACAATGGCCTCGTTACCGGCTTGGACAGCACGAACCAACGGCATGTGCAACTACATAACCAACTGCTAACGACTCGAAGGTTAAAAGGGGGGACTTACGTTAACATCGATGTCTTTCTGTTCTAGCAGAAACGTCACCATGTCTTCCAAACCAAGGTCACACGCAACAACCAGCGCCGTACCCCCACCCTACAATTGATTTCGTATACAATGCCGTTGGTCGGGTATATAAATCTGCCATAGTTACTCCGTGGTTATCGTTCAAGCCAATCGTCGAGTGCTGCAGTAGCTCGCGCACCACGTCGACGTGGCCATACGCAACCGCAACCGTAAGGAGACCCAATCGGCGCTGCATCACAGTGTTAGTGAACATGGTCACATGATCACAACATACGTCGAATTGTGACTCAAAGACACTCAGTGCCACAAGTTCGGTATAGCCAGCGCTCGGTAGTAACTCGCGCACAAGGGCCAAGTTGCCAGCTTTGGCAGCTTCAAAAATGCGACTTGTAACCTCGGCGGCATTCTCCGATTCCATGTTTGAATACACTGTGATGAAAGCTAAGCGCTGACACCCAAGGGTTGCGGCCGTTACAAAAACCAAGTCCATTTCGCTTATGATTGGTTGTCATATCTCAATAATGTGGTTTGAGTGGCTAGAGCATTCTAAAAGAAATTTGGCAAATTCATTTTGGAACGGATTTGACATGTACGCTAAGACACTCGTCCGATTCCATGTTTTCAGCTCACTGTGGAGAAACTCGACGATGTACGATATACTTCACCCAAGGGTCGCAGCAGTTACAAAATCCGAATTTGAAACCGCCTGTAGTGTGTACTAATACTACTTACTAGTACTATGTTTTATTGTTGTACTCCATAGTATGTTCAATTCGTTACACGCTTTGATTCGTGGTAGACAGGCATCCATGATCCGTTGTCCTTGCGCACACGACAAAATGCTTTGCAATCACTCACTCAAATATTATAGAGACCGTAGCAAAACAATGCGGTCGTTCTGAACGCTCACGCTCGGAGGATCATGCATGTACAAACTACACTGTAGGTGCAAGCGACATCGTTGCTATACTGTATTGCGGTTCTATAATTAGTCGCATCCACCATGCAGCGCAAAAAGTCGCAAGTGAACAACCACCAAGACAGCGACGACGGGGGGGCTGCTCCACCGTCCAACAATGTACTTCGCATCAAAGTCATCTCGATGGGGGACGGCGGCGTGGGCAAGAGCTGTGTGATCAAGCGGTACTGCGAAGGTTGATATTTTGCTCATCTCCGAAATATATATTCATGGACTAGTTGGCAATGGGGTAGAAAAGTTTGTGACCAAGTACATTTCCACGATCGGCATCGACTACGGCGTCAAACCCGTCAAGATCAACGGGTCCGAAGTCCGCGTCAATTTTTGGGACTTGTCGGGGCAGCCCGAGTTTCTCGAAGTCCGCAACGAGTTTTACAAAGACACGCAGGTGCATAGGTGAACAAGCAGCGATATCAAACCATAAGACTTGTGACAATATTTGAGACCAATCCCAACAAGAATTGATTAATTACTTAATAGGGAGGGATCTTGATGTTTGACGTGTCGTCGCGCCGGACATTTGACGGGCTGGATGGGTGGTTGAAAGAGGCGGCCAAGTACGGCGGCGGCAAGTTTCCGTGCGTCGTGTGTGGCAATAAAGTGGACAAATTGCGCCTGGTCAAGGAGGACGAGGCGGCGGCATGGGCGTCCTCCAAGGGCTACGAGTACTTTGAAACGTCCGCGCAGACAGGAGCCAACGTGGCCGAAGCGCTGCACCACCTCTTCCACCTTGTCGTGGCCCGTGTCAAGTAGACAATTCATCGCTGTGAATTTGTTTTTTAAATCCTATTCTTCTTTTCAAGGGTGGCGTTTGGGCGACGACGACTGCATGGGTAGTGGTTGGTAAAGGGACCCCACGTTGTATATGCTGACGTTGTTTGCTGGGGGTTTATTACTAAACAACATGCATGTTATTTGAAGGAATAAGGGTAACATGCGTCGAGTGGAGTCCAACTATTGCAATTTTTGAGGCCCTTCACCGATGGTATATTCCGAACATATTGGATTCATGTCGGTGGGGACGACGAGGGTTATAAGTACACACCGAGCCAGCTTTGTTATTGTTGTGTTTATTCTAAACTGGAGAATGAATCGACACAACCAAATGTACAGAAGAATTGAGCCAATCAGATTGCAGGAAACTATCATCAACGTCAAATTAGTGTGTGAATTCAATTAGTATGATACCAAAGACATGTTTACATACAAAATTCAGTACAAAGAATCGATCGATAGATTTGGCGATTCGGCCCAAATGTCCAAATTTTGGGTAAAAGGACAATATAAGAAACACCTCGGTACATTGTACAAAACTAGGTCGCCAAGACCTATCTTTGTGATGCGTGACTGTTTCATTTCGAAAGAGCTCCTATCTCGTGCGTTTATATACATTTCGGAGCTCAGCGGTTCGAAATCTGTGATAGAGTTGGTGAACTTATTGTTTGGCCTAGTATGCCAACCTCGTACAAGTGAGAAGTCGGTGGTGGCATGTATACTTTCAATCTTGACCCCGACGATTGGGATTTGAGCGCAAAAGATAAGGTGGAAATCGTCGGATTAACAAAAAGCGACCAGATATGACTAATAATAAGTTAGTGGGTAGGTAGGCTAACTCCACTCTTGTTGCACCCATGGTGCGGTGGCATTGTGAGGTTTGGGCTCCAATGGAAAGCACACGAGTCTGGCGTTTTGCGGCACTTGCACCTGACACTCGTGGGCGTATTCCACGATCTGACCAGGGTACTGCACCTACAATACAGTACAGTATACCTCAAATTTAATTATCCAACCTTTGAAAAACAAACAATATAATATATATATTATATATATATAAACTGTACATTTACCTGTAAAATGTCATGTCGCTGCAACACCATCTACGGTCATAAGAATATTTATTCATGCAATTGTCGTGAAGCATAAATTATGAAGAATACCTCGAGCCAATGGTCAAATTTGTAGATGCATGTAGCCACGATGGCGAAGTTTGTATGTAAGAACATGTACATAGCTTCCGTCGCCTTGTCAGCGTGCCACGTCATGACGCTGCTGTTGATGCCTCCCACCCGCCGTTCGTTTTCCATGGCGTCTGTTTCGAGCGTTCCAAACCATCCCGCGTACTACTCTCACATATATATACACCCTCAGAACATGAAAGAAACGCGTTTCGAACGCTTGGTATTCGCTTAATACCATGGCCAAATCATCCAGCGAGCCCACGAACACCGTGTCCAGATCGAAATACAACATCCGGCCACGCCAGCCAAACGACGGCGAGAACACCTGCGCCTTGTTCCACCAGCCCACCCACCCAAGCTCCAGCTGCCGCACGTTAATCTCTACAAATATATATTAATAAAATTGGAAATATATATATATATATAGGAGATGGGATTTTTAATGACTATTTACCCTGTGCGATGCCGGCGGGGTCGTCGGTGAGGCAGCAAAATGTAAATGGCACACTTTTCAAATGTCTGGCCACGCCCCGATACAGTTTGTTCACGTAGTCGGCGCCGTACTTGACACCCCACTTGACACACACCACTGTAATGTGAACGTGGGTCACAACCTCTGGCTGCTGGTCGTGCGGTCGGGATAGTACCAGGCGAGAAGTAGTGGGCTGTAGTAGCGCCGACAGGATGCGCTTCCAGCAAAGCTCCACCGCTACATCCTGTTGACCCAATGCGCGGTAGATGGTATTGAGGTTGTAGTACGCATGGATGTTGTCCGGGTCTTGCGAGATGGCCGTGGTGGCATGCCGTAACGCGTCCGCAAAGTGACCTTGGGCATACAACTGCGCGGCGAGGTTCACGTGCGCATCGGGGAAGTGCGGTTGAATGTCAACGGCTTGGCGAAAGTGGTCGACCGCCCGTTGGATGTGATGGGACATACTCGCTCCTTTGTCGAACACAAGGGCGCTGCCAAGGTTGAAGTGTGCAGCGGCATACCGCGGCGCGTGGACGAGGGCTTGTTCAAAGTGAGCGATCGCGTCAGCATACTTCTTCGACGCACTAAGCAGGCTTCCGAGGCGGTTGTGCCACTTGGCGTTTGCCGCGATCTCTGGCGATGGCGGAGGTTGTAGCGGGGCAGCAACTTTCATCATTGTTGCTGAGTTTGAAAATGAGATCCAAATATTAGCCAATCACAGACCAGGGGGTTACAATATGATTTGCATAGAGTGAAAAGTGAGGTGGGGAAGAAGTAATAATGTCCGACGACGAAGGAACTCGGGCGACGAGATCGCGCTCGCGAGGCAAGTCGCCGCCTGTCGATGGCGCCGACAACACTGGCAACTCGCTGTATGCGGCCAGCCTTCCGCTTCGGGTATGGGATGCTCATGCCACAAGACCAAGTGTTTGCTTGATGCTCACATGACACCACACGTAGTTGAACAAGGTTGAGTTTGAGGAAATGTTCTCCAAGTATGGCCCCCTTGTGAGCTGTGACTTGATTGAAGATCCCATCACACATGAATCCAGGTATGCATACATACGCACGCAGCATGCGGTGTTTCGATTCTCGACTAACGTTAATGACGGTGATGTATAGAGGTTTTGGGTTTGTGGTCTACGAGGACAAGCGGGACGCCGATGACGCCCTGAAAGCCTTGCACGAGTACCCACCTATCTTCTCTTAAACATGTTACTGACTTGACTGCATGTAGCAAAGAAGTGCTTGGGAAGCGCATCCGCGTTGAAAAGTCCAAGCGTTCGAAGCCGCATGCCAAGTCTCCTGGCCATTGTACGCGACCATCTCTATACATATGTCCCAAAATTGCTGATGGTGTTGCATGGAGTGCAGATTTGGGCCCTGCGAGTGCCAGTGCCGCGGCTAGGGCGAAGAACCGATCGAGGGACCGAAACGACCGTCCCCGCGATCGGTCACGGGACCGTCGGTCTCCGCCTCGGTATCGGTCGCGTGACCGTCGAGACCGGTCGCCTCGGCATCGGTCGCGTGACCGACGGGAGCGTTCGCGTGACCGTGATGGAGACCGCCGCGACGACCGTCCACGGGACCGATCCCGTGACCGCCGTCATTGAGGACGCCATCATCGTACCCAGAATAACGACGCTAACACTTATCCAAGCGTACTTATGTCCAATTTGTACGAATCGCTCAGTAACATCTAGTGTCTACGGTGTAGGATTACATAGATTCGTTATCCCTTGTGATTAACAAGGTGTCGAGGTTACTACCTAGTAAGTTATACTAGTAGTACACTAGTCACATATATGGATATCGTAGCAACCAGCATCGTACACGTCGTACTGCTCCGTCGTTGAAATACATATTCATGCTGGTGATCTGTCCTATACCTACACGTACAGTGTACGGTATACTAGGAATAGACGAAATTGTACCAGCTTCATCTTAGCTTTGATAATGCATATAAGGCAATTGATATACCATGACAATGCAAGTGTGTTTTTGATATATATTTGATGGCATACATTGGCGTTTGATATATCAACATTATGGAGAAATCATTTGGTTGGAGTACACGAGCATGTGCGTGTCGGCCACGGGGCTGTCGGCGTCGAGGGAGAGGGTCGAGTGGTCGAATTGTTTCTGCAGTGCAAACTTCCATATCGCCAACGAGTTGTGCAAAGCGGACGCGCCAGAACTGTACACGACAATGTATGTGGGCAGGGGGTGGGATTTGTACCGGGCGGTCGCAAACGCGAGGGGATCTTGACGCAACGCATCGGACGGAGACCCAGCTTCGCGCTCGCTACAAATCGATGTTGTTAAACCGAGGGGATATATATATATGTATATGCTGTTAAGCCGAGATATATATATATATATTTGACATACGAAGGAGTGCAAGAAGGAAACCACAGCGAGATGTTTTGATGGAGATGGCTGTAAAATGGAGTGGCGTGGCAAGGTACAAGGAAGTCCACAGAGTCAGTCGGATGGACCGTGGCTACCAAGTAGTCCATCACTTCCAACGGTGCTCTCTAATATATAAAAAAAATCAAGAAATACCGTTAGTTGGAAATATATATATATATTGAAATATTAGAGATATATATAAATATATATGTAGGTACCTGATGAAAGCGGGCGAAATACACGGCCGCGATGCCGTTCAGAAGGATGAGTAGACCCAAGAGGGGTTTGAAGAAGGTCCTTTTCTCGAGGTAAAGCAGGGCTTTGCCAGCGTAGACAAACGATGCAGGCAGGAGGGGTAAGAGGAATCGAGGTTCTAAAAGGGAGGGAGGGGGTTAATGTGAAAGTGTGTTGTGAAGCCGCGTGCCTTTATGGGCCCCGAGGCTGAAAACGCACAGTCCCCACACAATCACGGCAGCCAGTTCTCGTTTCTAATTTAAAACCTGAGATACTGTTCATACATATGATGATATATGAAAGTACTTGGGTGAGGAATCCACCGAACAGAATGAGCGGCAAGTGCGTGGCAGTGATCTCAGGGTACCCCGCTACAAAGTACCAGTACCACGGGTGCACTCCATACAATTTGTCTTTGCCCTACAATATATGCAGTATTATATGTTTCAAAAAAGTACTTATTTTCAAAAAAGACCATTTTTTACTCGTATATATACATTTTCATAAATAGGTTGTTTTAGTAGTACCTCCAACACGTTGAATTTGACAAAGTTCCACGGCACACATGTCCATTCGCCGTAGCCAATTCGATCCACGACCAGCATTAGGCTGATGGCAAGTACACCCACGGGGACTATAGTATGGAGAAGTAGCGCCAGTTTGGACTTGGTTTGAACGACTAGCGTCGCCGTCAGAAAGACCCATAGGACGGCGTTCGTAGGTCGAAAGATGCATCCCAACGCTGCAAATGCAAACGCCTTGCGGGTTTGCTGTTTCGTGGTCATGGAGGAGGATTCAACCAGGTCGTCCCGCCGCTTGGATTCACCGGTCTAAGGACAAGGGATTTGTAAGAGATGTCGATATATATATATATTGTCAATTATTCGAAATTGCAGTGGGGTGCAGGCAGACAATCGATATATCGACCAATCAAAACCACCCATATATCACGAATCAAGTAGCCAATCCAATCCACTCTTGGACCAATTCAACATCGAATATTAGTGTGTGAATGAAATTAGTGTGACACTGGAAGATGGGTACATACGTACACGCGTCAGGACAAAGAATCGATCAATAGATTTGGCAAAGAATCAGCACACTAAAGTCCACATTTTGGGTAAAACGACAAGGCAATCGATGGTCGTATATATGGGATGCAGCGTACGAGAAAGTGCCACGGCCAGTAGCGGAGGGCGATGGTCGTGCAGCACGTTTCTATCGAGTTGGAAAACGTTCGACTGAGTGCGAAAAAGATAAACCATGACGCCAATTGGCAAAGCAACGCGTATTTCGCAGCCGCGCCGTCGAAATACGTTCGAGCGAGCTTGTATAGGAACACGTCCGTGACGACAGTGACGATGCCCTGTTAGTACGTGGAGGTTAGATGGAATATGTGACGACAGATGAGATGTGTGTTGTTGCCTGGAGGATGCGGGGTCCATACGCCACTGTCCACGCCGTGTCGAGGTTCTACACGTGGTTGAGTATATCGTGTTGGAGAGAACTGTCTGTGTAGATCAACCAGCAGTTGTAGGGCCTTGTACAGCAGAGCAAACATGGACGGATGTGCATAGCCTCGCAACTGGGCGTGCGGTTGCCACTCCCATGTCCTAGTGCGTCGTTGTGGATGCAGGTCCAAGGATGGAGACGTACAGGTAGCCGTAGCCAAACACCATGTGGTGAGCGACTTCGGAGCTTTGCCAGAACTCATCCGGGTTGAAGTATGTCCTCACGAACAGCGCATTGAACACGCGAAAGGCCACCAAGCCTGCCACGAGCTTCCACATGATCTCTTCGCCCAAAATTGGTGTTGAAAGTTGGAAATTGAGTCACTGGAATGCAAAGGAATGATTGGCCCACCGGTTGCCAGATTTGAAAACGATTGGCTCAATCGTAGGAGAGGCGATTATATAATTTAATAGTACGATGAAATCCAATACAACTTCAAACTGGATTCTAATGAATTATCGTTTCCACCCTCCCCTTCGGCATGTGATCATAGAGGTCATTATACTGTATAAATGAATATAGCATTCCTGGCATCAAGTTCGTATTAGAACCATGACAGCGACTTCAGCGCCGGTTCAGCATGAGAACGATGCCCTGTTGGAAGATGGCGTCGGCTTCAACGAAGGCATGCGCCGAAACCGATGGCTGATCGGCGTGCTATGCGTCGTGATTGTGGCCATCATCTGGACCTTCGCCAGTGTGCTCGTGCAATACGTGTTTCACGACTTGGGGTTTTCCAAGCCGTTTTTCCTTACCTACGTTGCGAATTCGCTCTTCGCGGTGAACCTTCCGTTGTATTACATCGGAAAGAAGCTTGGGTACGTCAAGACCGAAGCCCAAGCGAGTGTGCGGGACACGTTATGGGTCAGTGCGGTCGTCGCGCCGTTGTGGTTCATTGCCAATTGTGCGTACAACTTCAGCCTCAACATGACAAGGTACATACAGATCGAGATGACAATTCCTGAGGAATGACTATGTCGTTTAGTGTCACGAGCAGCACCATCATCAGCTCCACGTCGTCCATGTTTACGTTTGCCCTGAGCGTGTTCTTTTTGGGAGAAAGTTTCGCCTGGTTCAAGGTACTCACCCTTGACGGTGAATGGTATGGGATTCCTGATCTGACGTTTCGATTGTAGATCGCAGGGGTTGTGTTCTGCATGGCAGGAAACATTGTCACCGTGCTGCAAGACGGCTCGTCCGGCACGTCCGACTCGTTCACGGGCGACTCCATCGCGCTCGTGTCGGCATTCATGTATGCCGTGTACACGTCGACGATGCGCAAGTACATTCCCGACGACTCCAGCATGAGTCTATCGCTCTTCTTTGGTCTTCTCGGCTTGCTCAACTTTGTCTGCTTGTTGCCGGTGGTGCTTTTCCTGCACTTCACTAATGTCGAGTCGTTGCAGTCGCTGACCGTGGAAATCCTCGGCCTCTTGACCGTGAAGGGTTTGTTCGACAACGTCCTGTCTGACTATCTATGGGCCCTCGCCATGCTGTATACGACTCCAACCGTCGCCACCATCGGGCTCTCCTTGACGGTCCGTTCCTTCCTCGAATATGACATCGCCCATCGTGTAACTGAACCTCGTCATCATACAGGTTCCATTCGCCATCTTCTCGGATCTCATCTTCCACGCGGTGTCTCCATCTGTGGTGGTGATCTTTGCCTCCATCTTTGTCATCGCTGGCTTCGTGCTCATCAACGTCGGTAGCAGCCATGATGATGAAGTGAAAAAAGCACTCGACTAACGTTAATAAGAATATCGATATACCTTTGTTTTTGTATGCCCAATTTAAACCAATAAAAACAATGTAGTAATTTGATTTTAGCCAATCAAATGTGAGACGAGGGAGGAGGTCTGTGGGGTTTAGAATTTCCATTGCGAAGATCTCAAAGGAAAGCAAGAGTACGTCCACGTTGATGCGTCATGTACTTGTCATGACTCATAGGATTCTTCCTTGTAGATGAGCAGCACAGGTGCAGGGGTACGAAGCTTCCATCTCCGCCTGCTGATCATGATCTGACCTCTGCTGTAGTACGATTTGTCGGTAGGGACGTTCTCGCCTGATGGACGCATCTTCCAAGTCGAGTATGCCAAGAAGGCGGTGGAGAACAGCGGGTAAACACTTATGTCCACCCTCAACGTATAACTCACTGATGCCATCTCTTTAGGACTGCTATTGGCATCAATTGCAAAGACGGTGTCGTCATGGGTGTCGAGAAGGTCCTTCTCTCTAAGCTGCTTGTACCTGGCACCCACCGCCGCATCCATGCCATCGATCGCCACATCGGTTTGGTGCGTCCTCTCGAACTTGTCCATCTTTGTCCATTGCATTTCTCATGGACGATAACTAGGCCATTTCCGGCTTGGTGGCGGACGGTCGCCAATTGGTAAACCGTGCCCGTGAGGAAGCCGCGGGATACAAGAAGAACTACGGGAGTCCGATTCCTCCCCAGGTGTTGGCGGACCGCATGAGCCAATACGTGCATTACTTCACGCTGTACGGATCCGTGCGTCCCTTTGGCACGTCCATCATGCTCGCCGGGCGCGACGTGGACACGGGCAAAACGTTCCTGAACGTCATCGAACCGTCCGGTGTGTCGTATCGATACCGCGGGGCCGCCATGGGCAAGGGCGAGCAAGCTGCGAAGACGGAGATCGAAAAGTACAAGATCTTCGACTTGACGTGCCGCGAAGCTATCAAATACATCGCCAAAATGTCCGTCATCCGCATGCTACTCGTTGTTCCTTACCATGTGTGTTTGTGTCTAGTTTGAACGTGTTGCACGACGAAGTGAAGCACCCGTTCGAGCTGGAACTGAGCTGGTTGTGCGAAGAGTCGAACTGGCAGCATCAGCTCGTGCCCGGCAACATTCGGGACGAAGCGACGGCGTGGGCCGTGCGATCCATTCAAGACGACGACATTGCCGACGACGCCGATGATGCGTAAAGAGGAAGAGAAGGACGGAGCAACGTCACAGCGTTGTGAATATGCGCCTCCATAACACGAGTTCGATTCATAAGGTGGACTATTAAACGGTCGTTGGCCGACGACGGTTGGACTGAGGTTGATGGTTCTGGGGGTTGGTTCGACGGGAAGATTCCACTGCTTCTGCACACATTTGGCACGGCGGCGACTGCCAGTGCACGGCACCCTGCACGACTGCAAAGCCGACGCCGACGTCGACGCAGTACTGACCGGTCAAGTCTTCCCATTCCGCGGCGGTCACGATTTCGTACAACGGGTTCCTGTTCGAAACTTTAGAAGGGGGGAAGGGTGACAACAGAGTGCCATATCATATTCTTTCGTTCTTTCGTACGTGATGGAGTGTCCAGGGATCGACCCCGCGAAATGAGTCAGCGACGTTGACGCGCCAGACAAGAAGAGACCGACAGACGTGGGCACGACAGGGCGCTTGTGTCGTGCGCACAGGAGCGCGCCGTTGACAATGGGACCTGGAGGGAGGTGGTGCTTGTACTTTGTGTAGGCGCGCCATACCTTAGTCCATTTGAGCGGGACGAGGTAGAACGTGCTGATTTCAGGGCTAAACAGAGCAGGGGGGTAATGGTGTTTGCGGTGGACGAGGTCCAGAAGGGTGGACGTGGACGCATGGGTCAAGAGCCGATGGGTCTTTTGGAGGTTGATCGCGTCGGCGTCTTCTTCGGCGGTCACCACGCACCGTTCGCACTCGACAGCGCCGAGCCCGAGGCCATAGACTGGTTTGGGGAAATATGGAAACAGTTTTTTCCATTGGGAAAGGGGTAGGGTCATGCGCTTGCCATGACCGCTGGACAACGACAGAGGACGGAGACTCGAGTGGACGCACGTGAGGCTGTCGGATACGTCGGCAATGTCGCGCTCGACCAGGGGACTCAGTGCGTTGGCGACCTTGACGGCGGATTTTGGGAACCGAGCCATGGACTTGTATGCCTTCGGGCCTTGCTTTAGCAGCTTCTCGGCCTTGACACACTGTTTCTTGCAAGTGAGGACGAACGACTTGGCCAAGACCACACATGATGAAGGCGAGCACTCGCCAGAGTCAGAGGATAATGGCGTTGCGTAGACCAAGAGTGACTTGATGTACTGTAGCTCCACACATCGAAGCCACATGAGCGACGGAGGAAGTAGTAACTGGGATGAGGTTGGATCATCAGTCCACTGCGTGAGGAAGGCCAACGAAGGCGACTCCTTTACCAAGAGAGCCGCAAGGGTCGCTACGTGGCCGTGCAGCTCCTTGGAGACCAAACTAAGCCATAACAGCTCTGTGCTTGTAAGGTAGCGGCCAACGCCAATCCAAGTCACATGCATGTTCGCCAACCTCAGCAAGGGTGCGTGGCGGGCGGGATACGTATATATTTTTTGCGTCGTAATCATTTCCCCTCGGTATAGTGACATGCTTGTTGTCCGTGGTCGCCTAAACGAAGTTCGAAGCTTGAATTATAATGACCACGGCCATGAAATCGTGATTCCTCATTAAGCTCCACCATTTCAACCAATGAAATACACTCGTATTGAACCACTCATTCACGAACATCACTCACGTAATCATTTTGAGTGAAGGTAATATTACTGTTGAGCCCAGTATCATGAAGCCCTCAAATGCTTGTTGTGTGGCCTTTTCGTACGCAACACTCCAACTTCGCAGTAAAAATTAACAAAAAACAATATTGTCGATTTGATAGTACAAATTTGGGGAGGGGGTGCAATCTCATCGCGCCGACCAAACCGATCCACAATCGATCTGATTGGTTGTTGAATTTCATGTAGAAGGTTTTGATTGGCTAATAAGTTTGAGCTCATCTGAGGTAGCCAATCAAATCGATTTAAATTCCAACGAGAAACCACGCCACAACTCGAAATTTCAATCGAAAGCACAATAAGAATCCACCTACCTCATATTCATTGTACTTTAAATGAATTATTTGTTAATCAAAAGTAAATGAACAATCGGATCGCACTTGACAGAACGTCACCCACCATGAATCGCATTTAATCGAGTTCGACAATCGTTTCCGTTGGCGCTGCGGCATTGGACGCGGCATTGAAGTAGTATCGCATGGGCCGAACAAAGAAAGGCAACAAGGGCGGCGGGTATGACCAGCCGCCGACCGAGGTAACTCTTTCCAAGAAAAAGCGTGGCAAGAAGATGCAGGCTAGCAAGGAGCAGCACTTTGAGGAGAAGAAGAAGAAAAAGGAAAAGCTCGACAAGCTGAGGCTTCAAGACCATCCCAAGCGCCGCCGACACAAGCCAGTGGGAACAGTCCACGATCCCATTGACATCCATCATCCGTCCCCGGACATTGACAACAATAGCGACGCGGACTCGACGGAATCCACGTACATCTCCATCAAGGAGTCGCCCGTGGTCAAGGTCGCCGCTGCGTCGTCAGCTTCGTTGACCATCGCAGAAGATGATCTCGACACGCCGTGGATGAAACCCGGCCAGCGATATCGACACTCCAACGTGTTTCTGTGTCTGCACGATGAGATCTTGGACTTTGCGACCTTCCTGAGCCCGACCGCGGACGAAGTGGCCGCGCGGAATACGCTGGTGACGACCATGCAGGAGCTGGTCACGTCACTATGGGAAGGCGCTTCCATGGGCACGTTCGGGTCCCTTCTCACCGAGATGTACCTTCCAACGAGCGACATTGACATGGTCGTGCTGGACGGGCCGAGCGGCAAAGAGCCGTTGTACACGCTGGCGCGGCGCGTGGAAGAGCTCGGCATGGCGTCGTACTTGGAGGTGGTCGACTCTGCGCGCATCCCGATCGTCAAGTTCGTGCACACGGCGTCGGGGTTGAGTGTAGACGTGTCGTTTGGGGTCACGAGCGGGTTCGCCACCGCCGACTTGGTCAAGGGGTACCGGCTCAAGTACCCAGCATTCCGACCCCTCACTCTCTTGTTAAAGTACTTTTTGCAGCAGCGCAACTTGAACGAAACGTTCAAGGGCGGCGTGGGGTCGTTCCTGCTGCAGCTGATGGTCGTGAGCTTCCTCCAGCACAAGAACAGACTCAGCGTGTACTCGACCCAAGGCCAGGACCTGGGCCACCTGCTCGTCGACTTTTTCGATCTGTACGGCAACGTATTCAACTCGTCGGACTTGTCCATCTCGGTGCGCGAAGGCGGGGCGTACGTGACCAAGGAGTCGAAGGACTGGAAGAACTTCTCGCGCCCAGACTTGCTGAGTATGGAGAACCCCCACGACACCAACCACGACGTCGGCGCCAACTCGTACGAAGTGTGGCGGGTGTTCAAGGTGTTTTCGCATGCGGCCAAGGTCCTCAAAGCTGAGATCTGGAAGCGAGGCACGTTGCATGTGCATCACGATGACTACGGCACGAGCATTCTCGATCGCATCATTGCCCGAGATGCGCTGTTACATGACCGACAAGGCCCAAAAGTGTTTGGGTTTGCCATGTCCAAACCTGACGATATGAAGCCCCATCACCACCATCATCATCGTCGACATGACTGAATATAACAATCGGATATGACCAAACTATTAGTACTGGCATTGGATAGTACATTGTATCAATGGGATAACGTTAGTAGATGCATACTGAATGATGTCGACTCTAGACCAAGGTAACCAACCGCACTTTATAGGTGGTGTGGTGGAACGTTATGTTATGAGTTGTTATAATAATTATTCGTCCGTTAAGAGTCATATTAGTTGTAGGGCAAATTATACTGCATATGACTGGCAAAATATACAACTTTGTTGGACAGGCCTGTATGAATTGACGTGGTGTGCCATCTACATTACAGTACTAGGATTGAGAGATTCCTTAGACTTTGGTATCATTTGGAGGGGTCGACTTGGTTGTTGTGAGCTTGGCCACCACAGGCACGACATACCCAACCATACCCAGAGTCACGGGGTAAAACACAGACGACAGCGTCACTGCCGCCGCCCAAGTGCCGACAGCCGACCCGATGTCTCCCATGCCATACCGAGTCAGGATCGGAAGGATGTCCAGGCCTTGGAGCAGCGCCGCGTACAGCGCCGACACGACGGTGAGCCCCACGAGGCGAGACCCGATCATGTAACATGCGCCGTACTTGTCCATGACAGTGTTCATCTCCGACAGACCTCTCTGCAAGAGAGATGCACTTGATGCAGGGTCGGACGACGGGGGCAGTCTATGCATGCAGCAGACAGTTGAGGTGCTGTCATGACGGAGGAGCAAAGATATGCTTACGACGGCATGAGTGTCGAAACTTTGACTTTGGTGAGTTCGGGAAAGTACTTCGCGAGGAACGCCGCAGCGGCAAGGTCCAACGGCATGCGGAGCCGGCGAAACGGACGACTGGCGGCGTATGCGAGGGCGAACTCGGGCGAGATCGCCACCCCTAGTGGACGAACGTGAGGAAAAATGAGGTGGTGGATGGCAGACCTGAGAGCTGAAGCAGCGTATACGTCCCAAAGACGAATGTCATCTCCGACGCAATCATGACGCCAAACGTGAGGATCGTGTGGTCCTTGAGTGCAACGTTGAAATGGTCGACAGCGTCTTGGAGCAACGACGGGGGCTTGTGGTCTTCTTGCGGCGAGAACGAGGACGGAGGTGGCTGGAAGGAAGACAAGATCGGCCGAGAGGCGGAGCTAAAGATCCGTTGCGATGGAGTATACGAAGCCAGGCTACGGCGCATGGCTGCCGGACTCACCAAGCGGCGACAGAGCATCATGTTTACTGTTAACGCACGAAAATGTGAAAGTTGCGATAAAGAATGCATGTAAAATTAGGCGCCTTTGATTGGCTGAAAAAATATTATTCGGCTCGAAGTGTCACGTTTGTCAAAAAGTTAACAAGTGGATTGGATGCTCCACTCGGTAATACTGTAACGTTTCAACTCCCTTAGAGCTGTAGTAGGTAGCGAAGGAGTGACTGAGACTTAATATCAATAGCTGCGTATATCCCTTGCAGTCAGAAAGACTCACTTTTCTCCGAGACAGGTCGACGTCCATGTTTACACTTGACTTTAGGACTGCAAGATTGCATTGGCCAATGAAACGTCGCCGTGGGTTTTGACGACGCCAAGGTTTGGTTGGTGCAGAGCAAAAAGTGGTTTAACGCATTTAACGTCAGCATGTGGTTATGTATAACATGAATTGCAATGTTGTGTTATATTCAATACATGGGGTTTTAATAGGACGATCGAGTTGTTATAACTAACTGTCCGTGTTGCACCGAATTGTTGGTGGGGATGTATGCCTGGTAGCTTGCGCGGAATTGCATTCTATTTTTCTGACCATTCGTGTCCGCGGCGTCCGTGGCAGTGCGAAGGACGAATCGATGAGTACTGCACCAACTCTAAGTACGTCCTCACATGTATATGGACCCTCATGCCAGAGATGAGGTATCGAGGCCCTCATGAGTCGATCGATGTATGTGCAGGTGGAGATGCGCTGAAAGAAGCGTTGAAAAGCCAAGTGGAATTCTACTTCTCCAAGGCCAACCTCATCAATGACACGTTCCTTGTCTCGCAAATGAACTCCCAATTGTACTTAGCCGACGTTCCTTGTACGTCGTCACTCATTGCGTTGTAGGTATGTTCCCGTGGACGTGATTGTGGGCTTCTCCAAGATCAAGCAGCTCACCACCGACGTCGCGTTGGTCATCGACTCCATCAAGGACTCCAAGGTACCCTCCATCCAAACTTTACGATCTCACTAGATGCCATCATGTTTAGGTATGCTCGTCGAGCCCCGAAGGCGATGCCATCAAGCCCAACATCAAGTCGGAACGCAACACGATCATCCTTCGCGAAATTCCTTCCGCCACCGAGCCCAAGGACGTGGAAGCAATCTTCGAAGGCTGCGGCACTGTCGCAAGCGTGCGTAGTGACGTCGGCGACACGTGGTTCGTGACCATGGCCACGGAAGAAGACGCCGTGAACACGCTCTTGGCGCTTCGCTCCAAGACGTTCCACGACGCGCCCATCAAGGCGCGCCTCAAGTCGGAGAACGTTCTGCGCTCGTTCCTTCCAGATGCGAGTGCCGCCCCGTCCGCGACCGCCACGCCGTACCAGCCCACGAACGGATCTATCTACGGCAACACGCCGTACTACAACCAGGCGGTGCCCAACGCGTTCGGTGTGCAATACGCCGGTCGCACTCCGTTGACCAAGCCCGTCAAGGCGGCAAAAGCGGCGTCTAAGAAGGCCGCCGGTGCCACGCCCGCCGCCGCGGGACCCACGACCCCCACAAACGCAAAGAAGTCCAAGAAGAAGAAGGACGTTTCGACGGCGCCCGCTTCCAAATCCGTCGGCAAACACAGCGAACGCCAGCCGATCCTGAACTCGGCCAACTTTCCGCCGCTCCCGCTCACGAGCTCCAATGGCGCCGACATCACCTACAAGTACAGCCACGACGACATTATGGAGATTGTCAAGCACATGGATGACACAGACGTCCTCCTTCCCGCGGGCAAGATGGACTTTGAAACCCACGAGAGCGCGCTCACCCCCGTCGCGCACCCAGATTTGCTCAAGAACCAGCGCACGTACAGTATCGAACAGGCGCGGGAGGCGCTGCGTCAAGGCCGCCCCATCCGCAGTGACTCGGTCGGGTCGGTCGACTACGAAAGCCTCATGTACGGTGAAGAATACACCAAGGAAGCGCGTGAGTTGCGCGCGGCCGCTGCCAAGGACGTCCCGGCGAAGGAGGTGAAGGTCGCTTCCTCGACGGCCACGGTGGTCGGAGGCTACGCGGCGGCGTTGATCCACGGCACCCCCGTGGTGTCGCCCAAGAAAGCGGTAAAGGTGGTGGCGGACGTGGATGTGGAAGCGTCGGCAGACAAGAAGGACAAGGCTGCTCCCGCGACCGAGAAGAAGACCCCCAAGAAGAAGAAGGACAAGGCCGCGGACGCGCCTCCTTCAGCGGCGCCCGTGGTGCTGACTGGCGCGTGGGGCGGACGGTCGTTTGTGGACGTCGTGACCAAGCCCAAGGAGGGTACATCAGTAGAAAAGGAAGATGAATGAATAGGGAGAGGAGGCGGCCGTGACGGGGATGGTGTGTTGCATTTTAGAGATAATACATGGACATTTTTGCATGACTACGTTTGGGCAGCGCGAATAGCGTATCCGGTATCCGGATAACGAATAACACAACCATGGACCCGCTGAACTGGGTACATACGACGACAAGGACTACGATTAGATCGTCATGAATGCATGATGTGTAGAGTCATGTGAAGCTATTGGTGTGCCATATCCACCAAGAGATTGAGCAGAAAGACATGTTCTTCCGTTTAAGAGGTCGCATTGTCACCCGAGTTCACCTTGTGGGCTGGATCACGAGCACGCAGCCAAGGGCCGGTCGAGGTTGTTTGTGGTCCTTATTGTCAAGGGTGGTATCATCACGCATGCATATTGTAGTTGAATACATGCTCGACGATGGAAGTGGCGAAGTGAACTTGGTCAAGTGGGAAGAAGCGATGGGGAATGTGCTAGCATTAGGCGACGTGGTGCGCGTCCAGGGCAAACTCAAGCGTTCAACGTGGTCGAACGCCGTCGAAGTCACGATTTCAAACGTGGTACTGGTGACGGACCCGAACGAAGAAGTGCTGCACTGGATGGAAGTGCGCCATCTCTTCCTCACGGTGTACCTATCGACCCCTTGCGAGCATGTACGTACGTCCTTTTCATGACCATTATCTGCCCGTTGATAAGACTAACGTACAATACTATGGAAATATACACTAAGTAAAAGATATATTTACATATGCAGGCCAGTCCCCAACTCGAACGAGAAGAACGCCCAGTGCAAGCGTTTTTGCGCCAAGTGTTTCTAGGAACCGCCGACGATGTCGTGCTACCCACCACAGACGAAGATCACTTTGCCTGTTCCGTGGCCCTCTTCCTGCATCGTCGCCAGCAAGGTACACCATAGGACAAGCGAATATGATGATCCCATAGATTTGTAGCGACTCAACCGCCGCCCAACAGCCCCATTCGGTTTCGATTCCACGAACTCGTCAAGAACGCTGACGAGATGTTGCAGGTGTATATATCCATATACATGACGTCGCCTCTGGTTGATGAGATTGGTTGGGTAGGTCCCGAATGGCGCCCCTCGCATCACTGCTTTCCGCCGGGCATTTACCGTCCTGCGAAAAGCAGGGTTGTGTCATTTAGAAGGTACGTTCAACGGATTCTCACCCGTGATGGTGGGTACTCACACTCATGCTCGTAGATGCGGATAACGATGTCTACTGCTTTGTTACCTTGCCTGCAGCGTTGCAGCCGTGGATCGTTGGAACCGTTCGAGGTAGAAGCCGCCGTATTCTTCCACGTAGCGCACTGCAGTCTGACGTCATGTGGATCGTAGACGAGGGTGAAACGTCGGTTTCGCATTTGGTGTCCAAGGTCGTGCAGCTGAAGCTCTTCCGCCACCTCTCGCTCGACTGGATTGCCGCCGCCATCAACGAGCTCAGCAAAGCCAATGTCCTTTCCGCAACAGGAACTCAAATTTCGATCAAATAGCCATAAGTAGTATCCGGATAAACGAACCTAATAACCGGATTTGAAATACGAACGTTTTGAAAGTTGAAAGGTCGCAGTGGTGGAAGCGCAGAAGGGACGGCGGTAGATGGCGAGCTCCAAGGGCACTGCTTTGAACCAAGCAGTCGCACACCAATTGCCCACATGGGGTAGGCCCGTCGGAGAAAACACCGAGAAACTCGTACGTGAGATAGTGTAGATCCCACCACAACACGTGCCTTACATGTCTCCATAGCGGCCAAGTCAACTGCTACACGACCTCACCGCCAAATCGTCCAAGTCGATGCGAGCTAGTGCTCCCCACATCACCGAGGTACATTCGTCGCTCGATCTTGAGTTCATTCCTGCCTCTCATGCGTCTGTCTCCATTCCAGTTTATGAAACTGGAAGACCACAGCACGCAGCTGACGACGTCAGTGCCGATCGACCGGCCCTTATTCGAACCCACCCCCGGCGCGATCCTCTTTGATGAGTACATCCCGTTCAACACGCATTCCGCCAAGCTGTCCCTTCGCAACAACGACTCGGTCGCGCGGCGCATCAAGATCCTTCCGCCAGACTCGCCGTTTTTCAAAGTCAAAAAGGGCAATTCCCACGACAAGGACGGAAAGATCGCGGCGGGGATGGAAATCTCGTTCCTCATCGAGTTCCTTCCCCAAGAACGCAAAGAGTACGCGCACGACTTAGTCTGTTGCACGGAGCGCGAGAAGTTTGTCGTGCCGATCCGCGCGCGCGGGACCTTTGCGGCGCTGTCGATCCCGGACGAGATCGAGTTTGGGTTGTGTCCGGTCAAGATCAGGTGCTCCAAGGTCATGACGGTGCACAACATTGGGACGAAAGGTGCCAAGTTTGTGTTTACGACGACGCCGCCGTTCGCGATCTTGCCGCAAACGGTATTTCTCGACATTGGCGCGGCGATTCAAATGGAGATCGAGTTCAACCCCCAGCACACGCGGGAGCGCGAAGGCGAGCTCGAGATCCGCGACGACAGTGGCCGCGCCTCGTACGTCAAGCTCACGGGGGACGTGACCAACCTCGAAGTGTACCTGAGCCACCCGATGGTCGAGCCCAGCCCCGCGTACATCTCCCTCAGTTCGAGAAAGCGCATAAAGATTTGCAACGGCAGCGATTACCCCGTGGAGTTTTCATGGAAAGCATATGCCGGGCAAAAGAACGAACAGAGCGAGCGCGACCGGTTACTGGGCGAGTTGCACAGGATGGAGCTGGCGGAAATGGACGAATTGGCTCGATCTGTTGGGGCGACGGACGGCGAGCCGCAAGTGGACGACACAGCCACCAACAACAACCCGACACTCGTAGATGCCATTGGCATCCTCCAGCGAAAGTACAAAAACTTGCGGAAAGCCGTCGGGGACGACCCGATGCAGTTCCTCGACGACTGCTTCCACGTCGAACCCGCGACCGGCAAGATCTGGGCGCACTCGGAGACGGAGATCACGGCGACGTTTAGCCCCCGGACGGCGGCTTTGTACTCGTGCACAGCGTTTCTGGACGTGTCTGGACGTGACACGCGGCTGCCGCTGCAGATCCGGGGCCAGGGCATCGGTCCCAAGGCGTCGATTCTGTACGACGACCTGTTTGACTTTGGCGACGTGTTTATCAACGACCCGCAAACCCACGACTTTAGCATTCAAAACCGAGGCGAAATCCCCGCCGAGTTTGATTTGTTGGACGTGGCACTGCCGCATGGCGTGGACATTCAGTTTGCCCCGAGTTCAGGCGTATTGGGGATTAGCGACACGGCCAAGGTGTTTCTTACGTTTTGCTCGGCCGTGCTGGGCGAAATCAGCGTCAACTTCAACTTTAAACTGAAAGGGTCGGACGAGCTGCTTCGCGTGCGGTTCCGCGCCCACGTGATTCCGCCCATGTTTCAGTTTGACACGGACAAGGTCGAGTTTGGCGTCGTGAGCTTTGCGTTTCTGCAGACAAAGTATGTGACACTGTGCAACACGTCGCGCATTGCGATGGAGTACCAGCTGCGGATCCCCCAAGATGGGTTGTACAAGCACAAGGAGTTTACGCTCACGCCGTCCGAAGGCACGTTGGCGCCGTTTGGTAAACAACCCATTTGCATCGACTTTACCTCGGTCAACGTCAAACAGTACGAGTATTTCCTCGTCGTGAGCGTCAAAGGCGTCGGGTCCGACTTGCTTAACGTACCCGTGACCGCGCAGTGTTTTGTGCCCGAGGTGCTCGTCACGCGATCAGAGCTCGTGTACGGCGAGTGCTTTCTCCGGTATGCGCACTACCAAACGCTGAGTCTGACCAACACGAGCATGTCGTTGCCGGCCAAGTACGACTTTGTCGAGCAGGATGACCACTCGAAAGTCGTGGCGGCTTTCATTCCAGACGAGCTCGGCGGTGTGATCCCGCCCAGCACGACCAAAACCATCAACGTCGCGCTCGTGTGCGAGAAACTCGGCAGCATCCGCCTCCCCATGCACGTGCGCATCGCCGGCTCCATCGATTTGCCCCTCGCCGTGACGCTCAGTGCCCAGGGCAAGGGTCCACTGGTCGAAATCGACTGCGACGCCATCGACTGGGGAAACTGCTCGTGTTTAGTCGACCACCCCAAGAGCCTCTTTGTGACCAACAAGAGCTTGATCCCGGCGTCGTTTAAAACGTTTATCCGGAACGCGCGCAGCAAGTTTACCGTGGACAAGAAGGACTGTGTGTTAGCGCCGCATGAAACGGTGGAGCTGGTCGTGACGGCCAACTTGGACGACACGGTCGTGTTCAAGGAACAGCTGCACATTCTGGTGTTGGAAGGCGCGAACATTCTCATTCCACTGAATGCACGGGGTACGGGCACGACGATGTGGGCCCCGACGAACATGAGTTTGATCGACTTTCAGTTCCAAATGACGCACAAGCAGTGCGAATGGAGCTGTACGTTGGAGAACAAGGGCAAACGCGGCCAGATCCTCACGTGGGTCAACAAAACGGTCAAGCTGGCGCAGCTGGAGATGCTGCAAAAGGTCAAGGCGCTGCAGAAGATCACGACAAAAGCCAGCCAGGTCAAGACCGGCCAGTCAACCGACGACGGCCCGGTCCCGATATTCACCGTGTTCCCCACCACGATTGAACTCAAGCCCCGGACTGCATGTACGTTTTTCTTTCGCGGATTTAGCAGCAACCCTGGCATGATCACCGAGGAGCTGGTGTGCGAGACGCGGATTGGGCAGGAAAAGAACCCGAAAATTGCGTTTTCGACGCAAATTTGCGCGCAGTTTATCCACCCCAAGATGGAAACGTCGCAGCCAGGATCGACCGGCATGACGTTTTCGTATGTGTACGCCCCGTCAGTGGACATTCAAACCCAAACACAGCCGTTGGTGTTTACCAACGTGTGCGAATTGCCCCTGAGTTTTGTGCTCAAGACCCAAGTGCCGTTTGCCGTGGATATGTGGGAAGCGGTGCTGCAACCGGCGGAAAGCGTCGCGCTCAACGTCGAGTTTTACCCTGGGTATAAGGACGACCACATCAGTCGGTCGATCAACGGCAAACTCGTGACGTCGTACTCTGGGCATCCGCAAAAAGACACGATGGAGCTCAAGGGGGACATTTGCTTTCCCAACCTCGAGTTTGAGTACTCGCGCATCGACTTTGGCAGCATCTTGAACGACACGCAAAAGTCGCTCAGTGTCAAAGTGACCAATATTTCGCAGGTCGCCACGGCGTTTCATTGGGTGTTTATCGAAGACGAAAAGGAATCGCGCGCCGCGGCCACGGCCAAGCGACCGTACATCCCGATCAACCAAGTGTTTGACATTTTGCCCATTCGTGGGGTGCTACAACCCCACGAAACCGAGTCGGTCGAGTTTATCTTTTACGGCCACGCCAACCGAAAGTTCAAATCCATCGTCGCGTGTGAAGTCGAAGGCGGGCCCGAGTACGAACTCACGTTGTCGGGGGAAGCGTCGTCCGTGAGCTATCGACTGGATCGACCGTACATTGACTTTGGCCCGGTTGTGTACAACAAGTCGGAAGACCGCGAGTTTTGCATCCTCAACCTTGGCAAAGTCGCGTTTAGTTTTGCGATTAGTTTGGACAAGCTCAGTCGATCGGGGATTGCCGACGTGAGTCCGATTGCTGGGCGTATCTTTGCCAACGACAAGCAGCGCATCTCTGTTCGGTTTCGTCCAGGGATTCCAGCGTGCATGGTCGAAACATTGTGGCTCGAAGTCGCGCACTTTCAGCCGGTCGAGTTCAAACTGTACTGCCACGGCATCTTTGCGTCGTTGTCTGCGAATTTACCAAGGGGAACCAACCATCCCAACTGTTCGGTGCATGGTGTCCAGCCCAAATGGCGCGAGTTGCTCCGCATTGCCAAAGACAACATTGAACATCCAAACGTCGACGCGATTCCGCCTGCGGTGGCGGCTGCGTGCGAAACGACCACGTTAGGGTTGACAAGACCCAACTCGAGGGCGCCGCCTCCGCTTCGGAACCCGGGTGGAGGAGGAGGGGGAGCCAACAACAACAACAATGGCATGGCCACGGACCGCGGCAGCACATCGTCCCGAATCACAGGCCGGACGACGTCGCGGTTCACAGATCGCGTGATCACGTCAACCGCGCGTAGCACGATGAAACCGATGACGTCATCGCCTTCGAAAGACTCGTTCTTTGACCCGTTGTCGAAAATGACCAATTTCGACGAGTTGGACGTCGACACGGAAGCGTGTCGGGTGCTGTTTGTCCAGTACTTGCTCAAGAACGAAGAAAAGGTTAGGGCAGCAGTCAGTGAATCCACAATATCTGCAACAACGCAAGCGGCGGCAGCTGTGCCCAAGGCGTTGACGGTGCCCACACTAAGTATTGCCAAACCAATGACAGCTGCGCCATCAACAACAACGCTAGAGGCAAAGAAATCCAAAAAAGTAGACAGCAACGAAGAAGGCACCGACGACGACGACACAACCGCCGCCAAACAATCACTCACCACCACCAACAACACAGGTTTTATCCTGAGCCAGTACATATTGGACTTTGGCAATGTCGTGTCGGGAACTCACCGCGTGAAGAAATTTCTGCTCACCAACACGGGCCAAGTCCCGACGAGTTTTCAAATCGACAAGAATGTGGCGCTGGCCAAGGGGTTCTCGATCGAACCGGAGCGTGTCGTGCGACTACTGGAGAAGAAATCGATTGAGTTTACCGTGACATTTCAAGCGCGAAAGAACGGCCGACACGGAACCCACGGCGCCAACATCTTTTTAGAGGTCAAGAACGGGCCGTGTAGCCTACTCACGCTCAAAGCCAACGTGACAGTACCGGACATAGCCATTTCCCAAGACTCGTTGGAGTATGGCCAAGTGGTCGTGGGAAGGTCGCTTGTGATGCACACGCAGTTTCACAACACGAGTCCGGTGGGGGTCGAGTGGAGCTTGAAGAAACCGATCGGATCGTCGCGGGATGTGGGCTACTTTCGCATGGAGCCGCAAGGGGGGGTGCTACACCCAGGCACACGATGCAACGTTCGCATCGAGTTTATCCCTTTGGAAGGCCGACTATACCATGTCAAAGTGCCTGTGAAGATCAACGCGAACCCGAGGACGAGGGCCATCAGCTGCTCAGGGGAAGGCACCGAGTTGCGTGTGAGTTTCAACCCGCCGATGGCAGAACTGGGCCCGCTGCTGCCGTTCGGCACGCCCGTGGAGCGCCACATCACCATGAAAAACGAATCCGACTATGCCATTGAAGTCTACTCGTTGGATTTTGACCACCAGTACAAGGACGAAGAAGACGTGCTGCGCAACGCTTCGGGGTATTCCGACGACGAGCTGCTCCGGTTGCCGCTTCGGTTGCCGGGCGAGCCGCTCCCTCCAGAGCTGTCGACGAGTCCGAGTGACTCGGAGGGCGGGGGGGGGGTGTCACTACCAACGACCACGAAGCGAATGAAGCAAGAAGCGTCGGATTTTATCATCCTCGGGCCTCCGTGCAGTGGCAAGTCGACGCAAGCCAAGTTGCTGGGCGAAAAGGACAACATTCCCGTGTGGACGATTGACCAGGTGGTGCTGGCCGCGAGTCGCGACGAGTCGGATGTGGGCAAAGCGGTGCGTCGGGCACTCAAGCTGCCGCTTCTGCCGTGGGACCTCCCGCCTGTGGAAGTCCCGTCGCCAGAGGATCACGTGGATGTGCACGACAAAAAGCAAAAGAAGAAGAAAGAGGACGAACACGACGTGACGGTGGAGGTGCCGGCGCCCGTCGTCGTCGTCGAAGCCGACGTACCGTTTACGTGGGAACTGCTTCGAGACGTGCTGGAGTCTAGATTGAGTCTGGACGACATGAGCAACGGAAGCGTACTAGACGGATTGGACAATTCGTATTTATCTATCGAGGACACATACAAGGCGATCGCAATCGCATTGGAAGGCGCAACTATCTTGCTGCTCAACTTTACAGACGACATGTACGAGAGCCAAGTGACAGAAATGATCAAGGCCTGTCACGATGCCCTGCACGACTTGGACATGCAAACTCATACGTTGGACGGGGGGGACTCTATGGCCGAGAGCGGCCACAACGACCCCAACAAATTGGAGAGGATTCTCGACCAAGAAACGCCAGTGCCGTCCCCTCCCTCCTCGTCCCCATCACCTTCCCCCGACGACAACCACGCGGTCGCCGGCGTTGGGGGGCCGGGGGACGACGTCACACGGCTCCACGTGTTGCTGGACAAGCTGCACTTTCAATTGGAACACAACACGTTTGAACAGTACACTCAAGCTCTACCGGCGTTTGTGGACCAATTGAGGTTGCTCACTGCTCCGTCAACCTCGATGTCTTTCGACCTGGAGACGACCGCACTTAGCACGTCGCGTAGCAACCTCAGTCAAGGCTCGGCAGATGAAATGTCCTTGCCCATTGTCCATCCACCTAACGACGACGTGGAGCCTCCGCAACCCGCCCCCCTTTCCACCACCGACGAAGCTGTCGTTACTTCCGACCAACCGCTCACTCGACCGAAAAAGGTCCATCGCTTGTTGGTGCTCAACGAAGTAACGGTCACCGAAGTGGCTCCCCCCCTTGTGATGCATGGAGCCCTCCACGCTGCGATTGAAAAGTTCTCACGGGAACTGCAGTCATCGCACTTGATGGTGCCGGCGCCGGTGTCGTACCAGCTCGTGAAAAAGCCCTACTCCCGCAGCTCGCGCAAGCCCGTGGTGCGGTTCCAAATCGCGTCCGACCGCATGCGGTGGATCTTGCCGCCTCGGGGCGAGTGTTCGTTTGTGGTGCAGTTTGCCTCGAACGAAGTGGGCACGTTCGACAGCACGCTGGGTTTTGAGATTGTGGGCGGACGGCGCGAATTGAGTCTGTTTTGCCGAGCCCAGTGCGCCGTGCCAACGATCAACAGCGACCCGCGCAACGTGTTTATGAGTCGCGGGAAAGCCAAGCTGGACGGGATGGTCCAAAAGAAGTACGTATTGACGACATCGCAGTACGAGTTTGGCCCGTTGCTCATTGGTAAAACGCCAGCTTTGCGCCATGAACCGGTGGCGTCCGAGATGTACAAGGCCGCAAAACGCACCAACGCCGAGGTGTTTCGCATTTCCAACCCGTGCAAGTACACATGCCATCTCCACTTTGCATTTGAAAAGACGACAGATGTGTTTTTCGTCGAGCCCACCACGTTCGAAGTTTGCGAAGGCGACACGGCCGAGGTCATGGTGTGGGCTTTCCCAACTGCCAAGGGCGTCGTGGAGGACGCGCTAGTGTGCTGCATAGCGGACAATCCAGAGCCCGTCGTGTTCCCAGTCACGTGCGTCGGGTGTGTGCCGTCGCTCCAACTTACGGGTGTACCAGTAGTCGGCGACCCGCCGGACAAAGTGATCGATTTCGACCGGCTTTTGTTGAATCGACGGGAGGAAAAGCAGTTTACGGTGTCCAACACGTCAGACATCCCCGTGTCGTGGAAGCTAGCACTGACGAATTGCCCTGGGGACTTTGAATTTGCACCAAAGGAGGGGGTGCTCAAGTCGAATCAGCGCGCGATAGTAGGCGTGTCGTTCACGGCGGCAAAGGAGGGTCTGTTTAGCTTCCCCGTGGATGTCGAGTACTCGGACGCGGAAACGGGGTTCCATCCCCAGCACATGGAGAAACTATTGATCAAAGCCGAAGCGTACAAGATTGACGTGTGTTCGTTTGAAGGCAACGACCCGCCAGGGCAAACTACCGCTACTAGTAGTACTAGTAGTGGCGACCACCCCGCCGACAAGATGAACGGAATGCTCGACTTTGGGCTGCTCCGCGTGGGCGACGCCGTGACCAAGAGCTTTCAACTGCGAAATCGCGGCAAGTACGACATCAAAGTGCTGCTTTCGATCAAGCGCCATAAGGACCTGTTTCAAATCAAACCGGTCGAGGCGATCATTCCCCCGGGCAAAGTCCAGTCCATCGACGTCACGTTTCAAAGCTCGACGGAAATCGCGTTACGGGACTGCAAAGACATCAAGTGTGTCATTATGGAGCACCTTACGGGGGAAGCAGTCCACGAATTCCCCGTCTTGTTGCACTGCCGCGCCGTATTTAGCAAGTTCCGGCTCCAGCCGGCGCGCGGGTTAAGCTTTGGGTCGATGCGGTTCAACGAAGACAAGAAGACCAAACGCCTGGAACTGCGCAACGACGGCGATTTTGCCTTTAAGTTCCGTGTGCAGCCGTATAACGAGCCGTTGATGGCTGTGGACGGTCCTGTGGACCCCAAGCCGCTTCAAATCGGACAGTTTACTGTCACGCCGAATGCAGGTACATTAGACCCAGGGCGAATCATGGCGCTGGACGTGGGGTTCCAACCCGTTGGAGCGTCAGTGTTTCGCGAAATGTTTCGATTGGATGTGAGTGGTCGCGATGTGTCGAACGAGGCGGAATCGTCGGCCCTCTTGTACGAACTAAATGGGGAAAGCTGCTACCCCGGCATCAACACGACCGACATGGAGAGCCTCTTTGAGGAGCAAGCGGTCGTCCGCACATTCGGTTTAGGGGACTCGTCAACCACGTCCCACGAGTTTCGGCCGCGCAACCAGCCCATGTTTGCCCACGTGGAAAAGTTGTTTGACTTTGGCGCGATCGTCGTGTCGAAAAATGTGGTTGAGCGGTACAAAATATCCAACCCGACCAAGGTACTGGCATCAGTCAACTTTACAATCCAAGGCGGCACTGGGAAAGAGGAGGAAAAGGAAAAGGTCGACGAGGATGCAAACGCGTTCTCGGTGCAGCCCAGTGTGTGGGACATCCCGCCCCACGAACACCGGTATGTAAACGTGCACTTCAAACCCACCGCCATGCGCATGTATCGTGCCTTGTTTACTGCGTCAGTCGTGGACGGAGCCGATCCAGCGACCAGTCGGCTCCAGTTTGACGTGTGTGGCGAAGGCACGATGCCATGTGTGACGATCGAGTCGCCGACAGTTCGAGATCCGTTGACGGGGGTGCTGACGCTGGCTTATGGTCGGGTTCGCGTGGGCAAGTCCAAGGAGCTCCCGCTGGTCGTTCGAAACGATGGAATCGTGCCGGCCACGGTGCTGTTTTCGCTGCCAAGCTCGACGTTTTCGTTTCCAGACTGCAACAACGCCGTAACGATGGCCCCCAAGACATCCCAGGCGTTCCAAGTAACGTTCAAACCGGTCAAAGCCCATGACAGCGACGACAGTCCGTGCGTGGCCTCGTTGAAACTGAGCGTTCAGTACAACCCGTTCGAAGACACAGTGGTCAAGTTGACCGGCCAAGGGTACAGGGAGGTAGTGGTGTTGCAAGACCTGCAAAACGACGAAGAAGATGCTGTGCACTTTGAAGACGTTGACGTGGACTACATGACCGACGACAAACCCGCAGAGGAAAAGACGTTTGTCTTGGCCAACCACTCGGCCAACATCGTGCGATTCACGTGGCCTACCCATCATGTGAACATCAAGTTTGTGCCGACGATTGGGCATGTGTTGGCAAAGTCTCAAAAACAAATCCGAGTTTCGTTTTGGCCGTCTCGCGGCCAAGTGCCGTTGCACATTCAAGACAAACTGGCGCTCCAGCTGCAAAAGATCAAGCGAAGTTGTACTACTGACACGAGTGACTGGGACGACAGCATGACAGTTGCATCAAATGACCAAGTATCGAGCACGGCCGAGCCCGCGTTTGAAGTCGACGGGTTGCTAAACCCGTTGACGCTGCACGTGTTTGCCGTGGCCGACCGCGCCCAGTACTCGTGCGACGTGGACTCAATCCAGTTCAAAAAGACCTTCATGTTTCAAGCATGCACGTACAAGTTTACGCTGAAAAACCCAAGCAAGATACGAGTCGGGTACTCGTGGAGCTGGCTGTCGCTCGACAGCAGCAGCAACGACATGAATGGGCCGTTTACGATCGCGCCGGACGCTGGGGAAATCGCAGGTGGCGACAGCCAAGAGTTTGTCGTAAGGTTTGCACCCGTCGAAGTGCACGAGTTCCAGTACAAACTCACGGGCCACATGAAGAACGGGCATGACCATGTGATAGACGTCCACGGGAGTTCGTTGCGTCCGGTGTGTCATGTCGACCTTGAACCAAGCGACTATTGCGCGCGCCGGGCTCTTCATTTGGTCGGCCCGACCGGCGAGTTGGGGCCACTGGATCCATCTGTCCGCGTCGTGGAAATGGAGTCACTTGGAGTCCGCGTGCGCAACACCAAGCGTTTTTACGTGATTAACCCCACCAACATCTCGTACGAGTTTGTGTGGGTGTCAGAAGGCAACGTGAACCCGTGCTTTCGGTGCGCGACGCCCAAGGGGCTCATGCTGGCCGGCAAGCGGTGCGAAATGGTGTTTGAATTCACGCCGCAGCAGATGGACCTCCAAGAGATGTTTTGGCGGCTCAAAATTGCCCAGTTCCAACTGGACCAGCTGTTTCTGTTTGTCGGCACCACGTCCGAGCCGCGCGTGCTGTTTGATCGCGGTGGCGTCAACTTTACCACGCTCTTGTTGGGGTCCAAAGCGGTGCAGAGCGTGTACTTGGTCAACGACGAGCACTTGCCGTTCAATTTCGCCTTTGACAAGGGACTCGGGTTTCTCGGTGACAAGCCCGTGGTCAGCTTGACGCCGTTGAGTGGGGTCGTGCCGCCCCATAGCCGGTGCGCCATCGAGATCGAGTTTGCCCCCGTGGAAGAAAAACTGTACAATTTCAACTTGAATTGCCATATCAAGCGAAAACCCACGCGGTTGAGCCTGAACATCAAGGGGGAGGGGTACGCGATTCACGATGTTGTGGTACTGCAGGAAGACGAACGCGCATTGAGCCACAACGTGATGGAGCCCAACACGGTGCACCGCGTGGACTTTGGCATTGTCCGCGTCAACGAAACGCTGCGCAAATCGGTGGTCATTTCCAACACGGGGAAATTCAACTTTGAATTCAACCTCCACTGGTCATTTCCGTCGGGGTCGCACCCGATGGTAACCGTTGACCCGATGCATGGCACGGTGCGCAAGAACGACAAGGTCACGTGTCATCTTACGTTTGCCCCGACATTGGAAACGTCGTTGGACGCGTTTCAGCTCGTGTGCACCACCGCCGGGTCGAGGGAGTACACGCTCAAGCTGCACGGGCGGTCGGTGCCTCCGGCGGTCGAGTTTTCGTTCGTATCGCACGACTTTGGGGCGTGTTTCATTGCCGAACCGGACGCAAAGGTGCCGATTGTCGAGACTGTTGTATTGCGCATTGCCAACCAAGACGCCGAAATGGACATCAGCCTCGACTGTGCGTTCGAGAAGCGGTCGCATTTGCGGGTGCAGGTGCAGCCGACGGTGCTGGGTCCCCACGAAGCGTTGGATGTGCCTATTACGTTTATCGCGCGGACAGAAGGCTATATCGACGAAGTGATTCCGTTCACAATCAACGGCACAACCGTGATCAACGTGACCATCAAAGGCGAGGGGATTTTCCCCAAGATTGAACTGGTCGGGAACGTCCAGCAACTGGTCAATTTTGGAACCCTTCAGATCGGCCAGTCCCAGTCGCGGTTTGTCAAGCTGCTCAACCGGGCCAAGCGAAAGACAACGGTCGAGTTGATTTCGCCACCGAATATGGACATCAGCCTCTTTCCACAACACGAGATTGTCCTAAAACCGAGGGAAACCGTCGATGTGGAGCTTCGGTTTGCGCCGTCCCGGCGAATTCCAGCGTTCCAAGAGGAACTTGCCATGGAAGTGGCAGGCACACGCAAAAAGTTGGTCGTCCTAACCGGGTGGGGCCAAGGCATGGACGTGCAACTCGATACCGAAACGCTCGGGTTTGGGTCAGTGGTGTTTGGGTCGCAACTGATTCGAAAGGTGTTGCTGCAGAACCGCGGCGACCTCGTGGCCAAGTTTGCATGGGATGTCAAGCGCTTGGGCGCCGACTTTACGATCGTGCCCGTGGACGGCGTCGTGTTGCCCAACCAAGACAAGCAGTTTGACATTACGTTTCGCCCACATAAAATCGACGACGACATTCGCCACGACAAAATTCCGTGTGCTATCGAAGGCGGCGGCTTTGCATCGCTCACGCTGACGGGGTCGTGTGTGGCCATGGTCGAGTCGGCCATGAAAGAGCTCGTGTTTGAGTCCAAAGTCCGAAAAGACTCGACCAAGGACATTGTGATTGAGAACAAGACCAGTCTTCCGTGGAACTTGCTGCCCGTGGTAACGGGCGATCACTGGCGTTGTGCCGAAAACCTCGCGGTACCTGCGGGAGGCAAGGCGACCCTGCCGGTCGTCTATTGTCCTCTGAGCATGACGCAGCTTGCGACGGACACGAGAGAACGCCCCAAGCGGCACACTGGCACTATCTTCTTTGCCGTGCCAGATGGATCCGCCATCAACTACAACTTGGTGGGCACGGCGTCTGAACCCGAAGCCCTGGACACAATCAATGTCAAGACGCAGGCCAAAACGTCGCTTGCTATGAAGCTGCCCATCAAGAATTGGCTGAAATGTGCCCAGGTGTTTCACGTGCGCATTGAAAACGCCCACAAGTCGACGTTTGTCCAAGGCGCCGACACGATCACGGTGCCCCCCAACGCCCAACGCGACTACGGGCTCAAAGTATACGCGTACATTGAAGGCGCCAACGACTTTAAAGTCACGTTCACCAACACGGACACGGGCGAGTTCCTGTTTTACCTCGTGCATGTGGACGTGGCCGCACCTGGTGTGATCGACACGTTTGTGTTTCACGCGCCAGTGCGGCAAAGCGTCAAGAAAGTCATCACGATCGAAAACCCGTTCCCGGACTCGACGCCGATTCCTTTCGACGACAGCGTCAAGTGGTGGCGATGCTCGTCGCCATGCGTCCGCGTCCGCCGACTTGGAGAACTCACCGGTCGCACGGAAGGGTCGTTTGAAGTTGAATACCGGCCGTTGCTGCATGTGGGGGACGTTCCTAGCGACGTGGACTTGTCCATCTCGTGTCCGCAATTGGGCGAGTACAACTACAAGCTGCAGCTGACCACGTCGCCCGCCGGCATTGAGCGCATTTTGTACTTTAACGTGCCGCTCGGGGGCTGTCAAACGCAGTCGTTCCGGTTCCAAACGTTTGTGGCCAAGCCGTGCGAGTTCAAATGTGCGGTGCAGCAGCCCACGTTTTTCAACGTAAGCCCGTCGGTCAAGGTGGACGCATCCGACTGGGACGGCGCCGAGTGCACCGTTTCGATCAAGTTTGAGCCCGAGGCGCTGGGCGAAATCCGCGACACGCTCGTGCTCGTGTCCGACGTCGGAGGCGAGTACAAGTGCACTTTGCAAGGCCACAGCGTGCCCCCCCTGCCCCAAGGCCCGTTTGTGTTTACCGCGACCAAGGAAATCGAGTTCAAAAATGTGTTTACTACCGCGAGGGAGTTTGTGTTTACGGTGGACAACCCCGCGGCGTTCAGTGTTAACACGAGGCAAGCTACGATTGGCCCAAAATCAGTGAAGTCGGTTGTCGTCAAAGTCGAAGACACGACGAAACCTGTGGTGGGCAAACTGCTCGTCACGTGTCCGGCGCTGGTGGACTTGCCGCCGTGGGTGTACTACCTCGAAGCCGAAACCAGCGACAGCAAAAAGTAGAAGAAACAACACGTTGTAAATTATATGCTAGTCATGAATGCTAACTAGTTCGATACTCGTAGTACTAACTACTACAGTACGTAGTATATTTGGTATATTAGTACTACACTGTAACTATTAATATATCGTATTCCAGTAGTGCTGTATACTACTGGAGTATAGTACTTCGAAGTACAAAGCACTGAAGTGCTGCTATTGATAAGAAGGTAACGCATCAATCATCCGAACGGTTTTTGAAGCAGATTTTGCATAGAAAAAAAATATAATTCAAGGACTATATTCTACATATAAAGAAGCAACTGCGATTTGGCATGATTTGATATTTGTAGGCAAATTAATATGACGAAACAAGAGCATGATGAATTTTAACGTGCACATATTCTCCGAACGGTTTCAAACATGAGGAGTTTTGTATCTATTGAATTATAATGCGAATTAAAATTTGATTCAATATATACTGTCGTTCTCCACTGGATTCAAAGCTTTATTAATTAAATTTGGATCAAATTTAAAAACAACGAGTAAAAAAAATTACTTCCGCTTTTGCCATTTCGCTGGGGCCGCATGAAGATCCTCTATGGAATGCCGCTCGCCGTTCGTCTTGACGCGTTATCATTTTGTAGAAGTGCTTCCAACCATACCATAACGACTCGGACGTGAAAACCATTCGGACAGAGCATCGGACACAGAAATATTTGAGGAATTAATACAATTGTTGCATACAAATTTCAAGCTTGCTTCACGTAATTAAAATAACGAGGATAGGATAGGTACAGCGTAACTAGAGACTGCACATCAACGACAACCGCAAGTCCTTACTAGTACTAACGCAGTAACCAAGCGGTCATGCTCAAATAGGTAAAGCCTTAATGATTACTACGTAGTACAAGCACTACTTCATCCTTCACGCTCGCAAGGGCTGCCAGTAAACTACACTGTACTGCAGGTTCATCAAATAACATATGACAATTATAAAAAGAGATATTATATTCCAAAATATTACTTGTATATAAACTATATTGAGA